GAGTTATTATTATGTCTTTGCTTTGAGACTTTATTGCCCTAGTTAACATAGCCATTTAAAGATCCCCTCATCCTCTTTTTAAATGATAGTGCAGTGTACCTGTCTTCCATAGGCAAGCAGGTACTTCAATTGCCTGAATGATTCTAGGATATGTGATATAATTTTAGGAAACCACATTAATTCTTCTTGGTCATTAGCATACCACTTGTTTGTACTTTAATAAGTATTGCAGGAAAGTAAAGAGGTTATTTGTTTGTCCCCCACCCCCACCCCAGCACTTAGGTTAAGATGATACTGGTTTACTTGATTATTATAACCATGAACAACATTAATTGTAATCCCAGATTTTGAATTATTTTGCTTGCCTTCTGTAGTTAGTATCTACTCCAGCACATATCTAAAGTTTTGTTTTGTTTTTCCAGAAAACAGAGAATAATGAAAGGTCGTGAAGGGTAGAGGAATCACTGGTCATCAACATCAACAAATATATGTTTGTCAAATATGCTCAGGAACCTTTTTGTGCCCTTCTAGGATATGCTTCCAGATCCTTCGATTGAATTCAACATACAATTGTTAAGTACCGACTAGGTGTCAGACACTGCCAGGTACAAAGACAAAAATGAAGCATTCCTCATCCTCAAGAAACAAGAGCACTGACCTAAGAGTTAGAAATCCCTGAAGTTTAATTCTCGCTTAGATACTTACTATCTGTGTCACAAGTCACTTAATCTCTTTTGTCCTCAGTTTCCTTCCCCATAAAAGTGAGGGGATTGGGAAAAAAAGTCCTCTAAAAGTCCATTCTGACAGTAGAGAATGCTTTACCTTATTGTTCAGAATACTTATTAATTGTTACAGTTTAAATCTATCTTTATGTAACTGGAGATTGTTTGAACCCAAAATGTTACCCAGACCTCAGTTGTGCTTTGGTTTTGCCAGAATTTTACTGAATGTTTATGTTGGTTGATATCCATCTCAATCTATCTTGCTTTCAAGCTTCCCTTTCTGGTGGTTCTAATGTAGGTAGCCTTATCTACATCGTATACATGTGATGTAAACCTTCCAGAGTCTGGATGAGATTCAGCTACATCATCTTTCCAGCTGGCTCTCCTCTACCAAATGACTTAGCTTTCTTTTTCTAAAACTATTTCAGATTTTGAGATAGATCTATAATCCCAAGTTCCTATTGAATTCCTGATGACTCTTTCTTACTACTCCTACTTCTTAACTTTTCTATAGCATTTACCACTACCGGCCATTCCCTCCTCCAGCATACTTTTTCTTACTTGAGTTTCTGTTATCATGTCCTCTCCTGATATTCCTTATACCTGACTGTGTAGTATTTTTTGCTGGATCATCATCATGTGACATCCACCAGCCTCTAGTGTGGTGTCTGGCATATTACAGGTCCTTAATAAACGCTTGTTGAATAAATGAGCAATCAACCTTAATTTTGGTTGGACAGCATGTTGAAGACTTGTAGCCTGACTCTTTTTGCTTTGTTTTCTTCCCTTTCAAGGTGAAAAAAATCAGTTTGCCTTCAACATGTTGGGGCTAGGCCCAAGCACGAAAACAAATTGGTTGAGCTCTAAGGTTCCTTTCATCTTTAATAATCTATGATTCTAACTGATATGAGACATTAAGATATTTTCTTTCTACTTTAATATTTCTCTTCTTTGAGTGGAAACAGTTTTGAGAAGGTCTCAGTGGAGACAATTTAGAAATGCCCTAAACAAGATCCTTGAAATAGGTGTTCTAGTGCCTCATTACTCCTTTCCAATTGCCAGTACTAAATGTTCCATTACCCTAGGTTTAGCATCTTTCTTCCTTCTCAGAGGGCAAGGTTTGTCATTGCCCTATACTGGCCTGTCTCTGATTGAGCTGAGAGGCAGGAGGCATGTTTGCTTGTTTCTTGCTTTTTTGTTGTTTGCTGTTCAGTCATTTTTCAGTCATGTTCAACTCCTTGTGGCCCCATTTAGGGTTTTCAGCCCCTGCAAGTACACTCCACAGAGACAGAAAGACAAATATGGCAACCTTCATCAACTCCCCAGTCTTAAGCCTTCTTTCCTTTTTACAATTAAATCTTCTTTTTCAATTATTTTCTCTCTCACCCCTCCAAGAAAAACAAAACCCTTCTAACAAATAGGAATGGAAAAGCAAAATAAATTCCTATATTTTTATTGTTGTGGAGTCGTTTTTTAGTCATGTTCAACTCTGCACGACCCCATTAGGGTTTTCTTGGCAAAGATATTGGAGAGGTTTGCCATTTCCTTCTCCACCTCATTTTACAAGTGAGGAATTGAGTCAAATAGGGTTAAGTGTCTTGCCCAGGGTCACATAGCTAGTAAGTGTCTGAGGCTAGATTTGAACTCAGGAAGATGAGCACTCTATCCACTGCACCACCTAGCTTCCTTTCCTCCATGCTTGTGACCTGCTTTTAAGAGTGTTGTGAGGCTCAAATGAGATAACATACGTAAGCCACTTTACAAATGTTAAAGTACTTTTTTAAATGCCTATCATCATCATCATTATTATTATTATTATTAATTATTAGCCTATAGTCTCCAGGCCTCCAATATGGGGATGATTTCATTTCTTGGCCTTCTTCTGCACCTCTATTCAGCACAATGATTATAGAGCAATTCAGAGGTGTGTAGATAAATATTTAACACCTGGGGTGGGGGAAGGAATACATGCACACAAATTTGATCTGCCTAAGTTTAAACAATTGACAAAACAATCCTTTGACTTGCATTTGCCAGTTTTAGAGGTGTAAAATGTTTATGCTGACAAGCTGCTTACTGGGGGCTCCAGATCTTTCCTGCCCTATTTCCTATTGTTTGTTGGCTTCTTACCACTGTTTTGTGTAGTTCTGGCATGGAAGAACTCACTTTTTGTGGTTTCCCTGGATTTCCTTGATCATTATTTCACCTGGAGTGCTTTTTTGGGGGGTGGGGGGGCTGGCCAGCCTACCTCCCATTCAGGCAACCATCTTGGTCAAAAGACTACAATGTTTTCACTTAGAACTGGGGGAACTTAATGTCCTCTATCTTATTTTTTTGAGGGCAAAAGTTGCTAACAAGTTGTCACCTTCAGATAACCAGTAGTAATTTGCTACTAAGAGGGATATTGAGGTCCTTGCATGCCATGAGCAAACAGGATAGTAAAATGGGCAGACAGATCAGACATACAAAGTTGGGTTGAAGAAGCAAGTTATGTTTAGCCTGAAGAAGAGGTTTAGTGATACCACTTGGTCTTTACTCCAAAGATATATTTAAAAAAAAAAAAGAGGAAGAAGAAGGAGGGAGAAGAGGAAGAGGAGAACAAGAAGAAAAACAACAGCAAGAAGAAAAAGATCCCATGTGTAAATAAATACGTATATATATATATATATATATGTTTATATATGTACATCTATCTATCTATATATATCTATATCTGTATATATCTATATCTATATGTATCTATATCTGTATATATATATATATATATATATATATATATATACATACACACACACACACACACACACACACATGTATATATATAGTTCTCTGATGGAAAAAAACCTGGAAGCTAAGGGAGTACCCTTCCACTAGGGAAGAATGAATATTTGTTCATTGTTAATATCATATATGAACAAATGGAATACTATTTATTATGTGAAAGGACCATCTTTTGACTTGTTTAGTATCTCCAGCACTTATCACAGTTCTTGACATATAATAGGAACTTAATAAATGATTGTTGATAACTTCACATGAGAAACGACAAAAAGTTCAGTTTCAGAGAAACCTGAAACTTGCATGACTGGTGCATGGTGTAGTGAACAGAACCAGGAGAACAATTTATACAAAAATAACAACAAAAAAACTTTGAAACACTTATCATCTTCAATTAGTATGATAACCAGCCCTGATTTTAGAGGATTAATGATGGAGAATGCTACCTACCTCTGGTTAGAGTAGTTTTGCACTTTTATGTAGAATGAGCTGCATATGTTTGGACATGGCCAATACTGGAACATGGGCAGCTAGCTGGTGCAGCAGATAGTGGCTAGAACACCAGCCCTGGAGTCAGGAAGACTAATCTTTGTGAGTTCAAATCCAGCCTCAAGTGCTTACTAGCTGTATGACCCTGAGCAAGTCACTTAACTATTTGTCTCTGCTTTCTCATCAATAAAAAGAGCCCAAGAGCAAAATGGCAAACCATTCCAGTATCTTTTACAAGAAAACCCAAAAAGGGGTCATGAAGAGTCGAGCATGGCTGAAAAACAACAAAAATATGGGAATTTTGCTTGTCTAGTCACATTTGCTAAAAGTGTTTTGGTTTTACTTGGAGGGGAAGAGAGAGAGAAAACAATTAAAAATAAAATTTAATTATAAGAGAAGGCTTAAGACTGGGGTGTTGAGGAAGGTTGCCCTATTTGTCTTGATAGCTCTGTGGAGTATTGCTTACAGGCGCTAAAAACTCCATCACCTGGTGATCAAATTTCTGGTGACGATTCTCTGCAAACTTAAGTGGGCTGGTTGTTGCACGACAGACATAGCCTATTTTAGGCACATGCTCAAAGCCTTTTCAGCTGGGTTATAATTTCAAGAGCTTATCCTCTCCTTGGATAGCATTTTACAACATAGTGCCAGATCCAAGCCATGATAACACACTGAGGCATAACTTTAACAGAGGGCACAAAAAATAACATCGTTTATATGCCTACAGATATATACAGACACACTTTGTACTTTCCACATTTTTATTTTTTAATTAAATACTGACTTTCTCCTAGCTTAAAATGATATTTAACTTTGAAGCTACATCAAATTTCGTAGCTCTGCACTCCTTCAAATGTCTGCCTGCTGGTTTGCCTCTGAGTTACAGGCTGGTGCTTATCTTTCTAATGATGGTATTAAGCCGTAATTGGCTAAGGCTGCCCTAATCACATCTGCGAAGCACCAGTTTCTGGTTTTGGCATTCTGAATATTCTTTTCTAAGTGACTCTCAAGCTTCTCCCACAACCAAAAGGTCTCTCTTTTTACAAGACTACAGCCTCTGAAAAATTGCATGTGATTATCACACAGAAGAATTACAAATGAGTATCACACTACTCACAGTGAAGTAGCAGGAATGGTGGTCGTAAGTGGGCAGCAATAGATATTACAAATAGAAGCTCTGAGATCATCTAGACCATCTCATACAGCATGTAGCGATGGATCAGCAAGCCTCTACTCAAAGACTTCCAGGAATGCTAAAGGCCTTTATGTGGTGAGTCCAATGATTTCTGAAATCTTTTAAAACTCTAGTTATTACAAAAGTGTTTTGTTACTGTTGTTGCTTTTATCAAGCTGAAATCTATCTCTATGATTTCCACCTGTTGGGCCTAGTCCTATAGTCTAGGGCCCAGGTCTGTAAGGAAGGTTTGTCCAGGTTTCAGTTGATGACCCTGTGGTTTTTATGTGTTGATGAAAGGAGACGTGACTGTTGAAGTCTTTGTAAGCATCTACATACTCTGAAAAGTAATATTGAATAGGAAGAAGAGAGTAAATTGGAATACCTCTGCCCCTTCATGATGCCAAGATTCTCTTTGAAACAAAGACACAACCTTTTAATATCTTTTTAATTCCAGTATTGTGGTATGGCTATAGGTCATGGGATACCACATTCTAAAAAATCAAATTAAGGATCACCCAAGAAGGAATGGAGAGGGGTATGGTGGGTATGAGCAAGCTTTCATATTTTATAAACAAGTGTGTCATAAGTGAAAAAAATATATGAGCAAAAATGTTGAACTGGTCACATGGCTGGCTGCAGGAGATATTCCATGTACCTCATTGCTATACTTACAATCTCAAAAGAAAGGAGGAAAGGCACTTAGTATGGACCTGAGGCAAACTTATAAGAGGACATGGTCACAATAGCATAGACTAGGGAGCTATAAGTGAGTATCATTGGAGGAAATACCCAAATCAGTTAAATCATAAATGTATTTAAGATATTTATACATCTCCAACATCTGCCTTGTCCAAAGCAGTTACTGATAATTATTTGGTGAATTGATTTTATATAGAGAGCCTCCAGATTACATAGAAAAAAAATTATTTTTTTTTACTAATCTATTACCAAACAAAACTGTAATAGGTGTTAGAATACCTTTACTTTGAATCAGAGGGTGCTAGAGCTAGGTAGCTCTGTTCTGTGAGTGTCCATTGTTAAATTTTCAGTGGGAGCATTTGTACTTGAGAAGTCAGCTATTGAAAGGAGGATTTGCTTCACTGTTTTGTTGATTATCTAGACTTAGGAAAGTTTTAATAATGAGGATTAAACTTAAAAGTGTATTACACACATTGCCTTCACTTGTTATACATTTACCAGGATACCCCTATATTGCTTTACAAACATTGCTTGAGCTAGATAGGAAGGTATTAGAAGGCTGAGGGAATGAAGTCATCTGACTGGAGAGCTGGTGACTGTGGGCTAAAAATAATAATAGCTGACATTTATAGTATTTTTTAAGGATTGCAAAGTTCTTTATACCTATTATCTCATTTCATGCTCCTAACATCCCTGCTTTGATTGCGCTTTTCATACATTCCCCAGAGGTAAGAGGGTGGAGAGGAGACATTCCCATTTGTTCAGGTACTGTACTCTCAACTTAAGTGGACATTGAAAAAAAATGCATTAATAGGTGGCTTAGATTTGCTGTCTTGTGGATCTGTGTTTATGCAATTGTAATTGTTTTAATCATAAGGAGTCAATGTGTTTTGACAAGAAATTGATCATTTGTTTGGGACAGCGTGTTAATTAAGGCCCATGGTGTGGAAATCCTTCTTAGGGAAAACAGCACTGCAAGTAAAGCCCCTCTCTGAGCAATCAAAGAGGGGCTTTAACACAGGCTGAGGGTTAAGTCTAAGACACAGGCCTCAGGTTCTCTGGCGACCTTCACTCCTTTGTGTGCTTCATCCATTTATAGCTAGCTCTGGCTTAAAACACAGCAAATATTAGCTTATCTTTATCTGGAGCCAAACTACTTTATTAAAAAAAGGGGGGGGGGGATGGCAAACAAGCAAGGTTTAAATAGAATACAAAACTCCAGAAAGAAGCGATGCCATTCAGTCAGGAAGTGACACTACCAGGAGAAAGAGTAGGAATGGAATAACTTCACCACATCCTGCAGGATGGCAAGCAAGTACAACCAGGCAAACAGCAAATTCTGTGCCTCCATTTCACTTTTTAATTAGGTGAGTTTTTCAGAAAAGACTTCATTTTTTTCCTGATTATACTCAGTTCAGGACAGCAGTGACTTTCTGAGCCTTTGGCTCACCCAAGCAAAAGTTCCTGGGCCTCCCCAGTCCCAAAGCTTTCACCTACCACTATCATCTTTCAGTCCCTTCTTCCTGCTGAGAAAAACTACATTTCCCATATGCCCCCTTGCTGACAAGGAGTTACAGGAGGAAACACCTTGAAGTCAATGTCGGACAAGACTGGAAAGCAAGGTCATTTAACCACTAGACACAATTCAGTCAAGTGTTTGTAATTGAGCCACAAGAATAGGATGGGGAGAGTACAAAGTAGAATATATACCTGTTTTTCAGTTAGTGTCCACTTAGAGTTAGACTGGAGAAAATTAGAAAATCACTCGAGCTACAGCTACCAATTACTTATGGAGCAAGAGGCAGGACTCCAGAGAGTCTGAAATGCGATTGACAGACAATGAAGATGCCTCAAGATTTGGATTTAGCATATACTGACTTGAAAGTCCTCTGTCAGGGTATGCTTGGGAGAGCTGTGCACCACCCTTCTCTAATTTCTATCTGAAAAATGATAGAATGTTATTACTGGAAGGAACTTAAAGATTGTATCACCTTATATTTTTATTAATTTATTACATCCTGGTTTGTTTTATAGATGTCAATGATTTTTGGATGTGTCTAATCTATATCTATCTGTATATGTATTACTATATATCTATATGTATGTATCTATATCTGTATGTGTGTATGTGCGTGTGTGAGAGAGAGAAAGAGAGAAAAGAAGGGAGGAAGGGAAGGAGGAAGAAGGGAATAATAAAGAATCCCTTCTACCAAGACATAACAGAAACTACTCTGCAACTTAGAGCCTTAAAGAGTTTCCTAGGAGTAAAGTCAATCAGTCAGTCCATAAACATTAATTAAACATCTACTGTATGCCAGGCACTATGTTAAGTACTGGGAATACAAAGAAAGGCAAAAAAAAAACAGTTTCTGCATTCAAAGAATTCGTAGTCTAATGAGGGAGACAACTTGCAAACAATTATTTACAATCTATGTGCAGAATAAATTGGAAAATATTAATAGAGGGAAAACACAAGAATTACTGTGGAAGGTAAAATTTTAGCTGGGACTTGAAGGAATCTAGGATGCAGAGATGATGAGGGAGAGCATTCCAATCATGGCGGACAGCCAGTGAAAATGTCCAGAGTTGGGATATGAAGTGGGTCTTTTTTGTTTGTTTGTTTTCATTTTTTTTCCTAGAATAGTAAGGAGGTCAGTGTCACTGGATCAGTGTGTGGAGTGAAGGAAGGTGTAAAAAGACTGGAAAAACAATTGATTTTCCCAAGGTCCCATGTCCAGAATATGTCAGATCCTGGACTTGATTCTGAGCTCTCGATTCACTATGCCATGGTTGCCTCACTGATTATATTAATGCCTCTGTTCCCCTTCACACAATAAATTGTTAATTTCCTTGAGGGCACAAATTATGTCTTACACATCTTTCCTCAAGCTCGCAGAAGGTTAAGAAAGTTTTCCTGAATAATCTAATCCAAATCTCTTTTTTATAAATGAAGAACCTGAAGTTCTGAAGAAAGGTATCAATATCCTCAAGTTTGTGAGTGGCAGTTAGGTCCAGTGCTTTTTACCTTCTCATCCTTTGCTAGTTCACTCTTCAGGGTAATAGAGCTCTGTTTTAGAGCCAGTTGTAGAAGAGGGAAAGATGGTACATGTCTTGGAAAAGAAGACAGTCCTTGGCAAAGAATAGTTCATGGTAGGAGCTGCTGGGAGAGAAAACTTAGGAGCAATGACCCACAATAGGCCCTTTATAGATGTTTGATGAATGAATGAAAAACAATGGTGAACATAAGCAGAAGAATCTCAAAATAGAATACCTGTCCTGCTCCTTTTGCTATTCCCAATCAAACACACATTTCTATAGATGTTTCCAGAAGATTTGTAATATGGCCATATAATAATGTAAGATCTGGAAGCCACCTAGAAAATAATATGGTCCAAGGGTTCCCAAATGCCAGACAATTAAAAAATTGTAATGGTCTATAAAACTGTTAGTACTAAAGATAGCTATTTTATAAAACCCTTACATTATTTTATAAAACTCGTATGTGTGTGTACATCTAATATGTATATTATATATGTGTATATATAAATATGTGTGTGTATGTATACACACAGGCTTCTTCTACCCTACATCAAGCTTTGTCAATCTCCAGAGCTCTCCTTTCTGGCTGCTGCTGTCTTGCCTTGGAAGACTTGCAGTACCTAGGTTATAGAGAGTAGAGTCATCCAAAGTAAAGAATACTGATATTTTCCCAATCTGAAACAAAGCTTGATTTGGGAAATACTAGTATATTTCTTCACCCCCATTTTACAGAGGATGAGTGTAGTTTTTGTTAAATTTTAAACATTGCTGCATCATTGATGTTTACTAATAAGCATTTATTTCAAAGTTTTTTAACCGAAACTGTGATTTCACTGATGTAAAGAGTTCAATGTGAGGTACTTTCCCTCTCAGTGCAGATTAACATCTTTTCCACAATACAGAAAGATTAAGTGATTTGCAGGTTCATAAAGCCATAGATGTCAGAGATAGGACTTCACCTCTTCTTTACTCCAAGGTGAGTTTTTTGTTTGTTTGTTTTTGGCAATTGGGGTTAAGTGACTTGCCCAGAGTCAAACATGCAGTAAGTGTCAAGTGTTTGGTCTGAGGCCAGATATGAACTCAGATCCTCCTGATTTCAGGGCTGGTGCTCTATCCACTGTGCCACCTACCTGCCCCTCCAAGTTGAGATCTTGATCCTGCAAGGTACTCCCCTATCTGAGTGGATGCAGTGCTTAAAGACGATATAGTTTTTGGAGCGTATGCTACTTATACAAAAAAGGATGATATGAGATTAAAAAAAAGCAAAAGAGAGATTGAAACAAAATTCCATCTGAAATTAGAGGAGGAAAAGGTTTTTTTTTATCAATCTGGAGAATGAGGGAAGACTTTATTGA